GATAGAGGGAAGAATCCCAAAGAGAGACAGCCTAAAGGCAGAGGGTAGAGAGAACCCTCCCCACAGATCTAAACAATCAAGGCTTTCCAGTCATGTAGGATGAGTTGGAGGCTATTATTACAAAAAATCTTCTTGTGGGAATAAATCCACCACGAAGCAACATGCTTAATATTCACACAAAAGGAATCCACCAATTTCGAAATATTCTCAAAAATCTGGCTGTTCCTCTCTTTCCATAAAAGCCAAAGAAGAGCTCGGGCGGCATATTTCCATAAAACACCAGCTTTTCCTTTGAGGTTAGATCCCCCAAAACCCTCGGAGATAAAGTCTTCTATTCTCCTAGGAAGACAGAAAGAAAGATCCAGTTGAGAAGCAATAAAAGACCAAGCTTTTGTAGCATAGGAACAATGAAGGAAAAGATGGTCACCACTTCTTCATCCCTTAGACACATGCTACAAACCGAAGGAGAGAGAACCCACGAGGGACATTTCCTTTGCAACTTGTCTGCTGTGGCCTTGACAAAGGAAAAACTTGACTTTCTTTGGAACTTTGAAATGCCAAATCTGATTTGCCATGGTCGAACTTAAGATAAGGGAAGGAGAACTCAGGGCCAAAAACATGGATCTAACCTAAAACATCCCAGAATTATCTACTTTCCACCACAATCTGTCTCTGCCTTGCCCAATGGTCACCCCTCTATCTTTTCAGAAAAAATCCCCCATCTGCTTATCTCCCTCTCGAAAAGATTCCTTCTAAAACCCAAATCCCAAGTTGAAGATTTTGCCGACCAACACTCTGCTATTGTAGCACTCTTCTTTAAGAAAAGAGTGTAGATGTCCGGAAAAGAAGCAGCAAGGGGAAAACTGTCAATCCAGACATCCTCCCAAAAACAAACTGAAAAAAACAAACTGAATTTCCAGAAGAGACTTTGAAGAGAGACAGCTGGTTGAAATCCCTTCTCAAACCTTGAATATCTATCCAAGGTCTCCCCACTGAAGAACCTTTAGCAGGCTTAGGCAACCAACCAAAGGGCTCTTCTCCATTGATAGCTGCTATGACTTTCCTCCAGAAACTTCCTCTCTCTGTCGCAAAACGCCACAGCCATTTCATCAGCAAAGACTTATTCCTCTTAGCCAAAGACCCGATATCGAGACCTCCCTTTTCATGCGGAAGAGCTGCCCAAGACCATTTCACCAAGTTTCCGATCGGTCTTGAAGAACCCCCATTTCAGATAAAATCTCTCATCAGTTTTTCATCAGTTTTTCCATTGAATTAACCACTTCCATTGGAGCTTTCAGGATTGACATAAAATAAATGGGGATGCTATTGAGGACAAATTTAGCTAGCGTAAGTCTCCCACCCTTAGAAATTAATAAGTTCTTCCATTTTTGTAACCGCTTATGCATTTTGTCAACTACTGGGTCCCAAAAGGAGACAGACTTTTGATTACCTCCTAAAGGAAAACCCAAGTAAGGAAAAGGGATTGAACCTGACCTGCACTCGAAAGCAGAGGCCCAGAACTCTACCTCTGTATTAGAGCTATTTACTTCAATCACTGCTCTTTTGGAGACATTCAAAGAGAGACCTAAAGCCATAAAAAAAACCGTTATGATGCCCCACCAATTTTCCATCATTTGAGAGGAATCAGGACAAAAAATCAAGACGTCGTCGGCATACTGAAGATGAGTTACCTCTACTTAACTAGCGTCGAAGGAGAAGCCCTTGAGAATGTTCCTCTCACTGCAAAAGTGAATCAATCTACTTAAAGCATCCCCAACTATAGTGAAGAGGAAAGGGGAGGGGGGATCCCCTTGCCGAAGCCCTCTTCCCCTTGGTCTCCCATTAATCAGCACTGGAAAATTAGTACTGGACAAGCATCCCCTAATCCACTTGCGCCATCGGTCCCCAAAGCCTTTAGCCCATAAGGCTTCATCAAGAAAATCCCAATCTACCTTATCATAAGCCTTTTCAAAATCCAACTTTAGGAGAAAACCTTTCTTCTTAGTCTTTTTCCAATAGCCCACTGTTTCTGAGGCTGTCAAAATGGCATCGAGAATTTGCCTCCCTTCCAGAAAAGCTGCTTGAGCGTCATGAATCGTGTAAGGGAGGACCTTCTTCAATCGAGCAGCTAGGGCCTTAGCTATAATTTTGTATAAGGAGGAGACTAGACTAATAGGTCTGAAATCCTTAATCGAAGAAGGGTTTGGCTTCTTAGGAATAAGACAAATATAAGTCTCATTTGTGCGCTTTGCCTTTCTCAAAGAAATCGTGGAACACCGCAACCAAGTCGTGTTTAAGGATGTTCCAAGCCTTTTTTAAGAACTCGTTACTCATCCCATTTGGACCCAGGGATTTGAGAGAGCCTAAATCAGCCGTTGCCCTTCCTATTTCCTCAACTGTAAAAGGCGCTTCCAGCTGTGTGCTGTGGACATCACTAAGAGGGACCCAATCCACGTTCTCAAAAGTAAAACAAGACTCCACCGTGGTTGTATACAGGGATTCAAAATAATTCACGAATTCACCTTCTATATCTTCCTCCTTGGTCAGAAATTACCTTGGGTATCTTCTATTTTCTAGATGAAAGCACGACTCTTCCTATGGGAGGTCCATCTATGAAAGAAATTGGTATTTTCGTCCCCCTCTTGCAACCATCTAATCTTCCCTTTTTGCAGCCATATCCTCCGCTCTGAAATGATGGTTTCCAACAACTGTTCTTTGAGGGACTCCCTTTTGGTTAAATTCACCGTCGAAAGGGGATTCTGCTCTTCTCTGTCCAGAACATTAATGGCTTTTGAAAGCTCGGATTTGTTCAACACTATGTTGCCAAAAACCTCCTTGTTCCACTTAGAAAGGACTCCTTTTAGAACTTTGAGTTTGACCATAAATGCAAATCCTGGCCAACCAAACTACTGATCAACCAAAGGAAGCAAGTGAGGAGAGTCTAGGCAAGCATTCTCAAAACAAAAAGGGGTAGGACCCCATCTAACAGTCTCAGAAGCGAGCTGAATTGGAAAGTGATCTAAGGTTGTTCTAAAAAGTCTCGTAGCCTGAAGCGAGCTGAATTGGAAAGTGATCTAAGGTTGTTCTAAAAAGTCTCGTAGCCTGTTGATTGACAAAGAGGAGCAGCTAGTCCTTGGAAATTAAGAAGCGATCTAACCTGGAGTGGATAGGGAGGACTCTCATGTTGGACCACGTGAAGGAGCCATTAGTCAGAGGAGGATGGAAGAGGTCTAAATCCTCAATTAAGCCGTTGAAAGTCCTCATGCTTCGAGTAATTCTACCTGATCTACCACCTGATTTCTCTGAAAGCCAGCGAGGCACATTGAAATCCCCGCCCACACACCAAGCTCCCTGACAGAGCTCCGCTAAGTCCTCCAGCTCCCTCCAAAAGTCTGATTTGCCATGAGTAGTTGAAGGACCATAAACCCTAGTGAACCAGCCTGATTTGCCATCCACACACTGAATGTTAATGGAAACCGAAAAAGAGCCTATCATGGAATCAAGTAGAACAATTTTCCTCTCATTCCATAAGACTAAGAACCTCCCGCCATACCTTTTGCATCAAGAGCCAACCAGCCTATTTGGTGAGAACTCCAAACAGCTTTGATAAAACTTCTACCTACTGAACTACTTTTGGTTTCTTGTAAACAAACGATGTCTATCCTTGTTCCATTTCTCGACACCAAGAGTGAAGGCTCCAAAAGTAACCCAGCCTTTGTTCAAACTTAGCAGACGAGCCAACTCTTTTGAAGGGCATTTCAGAATAGCCTTATATGGGTGGAAAGAATTGAGGATAAGGCTTTCTTTGAGTTGATTCTCTAATGTCGACACTAGCTTCCCCCAGTAATCATGAAAATCGCGTCTAGTTAGGATTAACACCTCATTCCAGTTAATGCTTCTCACTTCCTCTTTCTGGCGGGGCTGAGGTTGAGCTTGAGCCTCATCTTTCTTGACGACAGAGCTAATCACTGCTTCTGCATTGGAGCAGTGTTTGCGGTGCGCTTTCGAGGCGCAAGGCGCACCACAAGGCGACGAGTCCTTTGATCGCCTTGAGGCGAGAGGTGATACAAAGGCGACGTCCGATTGAAGCGAGACGCACCTTAATAAATAAGTAAAAATTATATATATAGTGCATAAATTACCTTAAAAAAATCAATACCAAAATAGTAAATGTCAACAAGATGCATAAAACAACCAAATTCTATAAGTTTAGTTTCGAATAAAGACAAGCAACATTAAGAAGTTCTAGAGTTTGAAATAGAACAAAAAGTAAATATAAGTAATCAAAGCTCATCATCCGCGTCTAAATCTAAATTCTCTTCATCTTGGACATCCTCACAATCTTCCTTTTCCAATTCTTTTTCTTCGGTGTCATCATCATCATACCTAACCACCACTTGCACTGATTTTCAAACTCTTGAAGTTGTGGGAGCGGGAGTAGCAGGCGACTTTCCTTTAGATCTTGCATATGTTCTAGTTTGCCTTATGGGCTCTCTAACACCACTGACCTCGGCTACATCTCCCCATGTGAGGTCGTCATCATCAAAGATCAACTCATTTTCTTCTTGACCATCTTCTTCTTCGAGTGTTCCGATCAACCATTCATTACTTTCATCAATATGATCCAAAGTAATTGGATCAAGTTGGTCTTGTAGAGTGTAGCGCTCTTTAAGTGCTTGTTTATATTTTATATAAACCAAGTCATTAAGATGCTTTTGCTCTAACCTGTT